GTAGACAGTTTCTTTACTTCCTTAACCTTAAATTATAGACAATTCACTATCGCAATTTGAGTTTCATGCCTCTATGATTATGATAATTATAATGTTGGTTCACTAAATGCAAACGATAGTTTATGAAATAAAGGTGATCTTTAAAAACTTCTATATGGCTCTTCATTCTTTAGTATTGCTGTTTACACCATTGAACATGTGTTGCTGTCCCTCCATAGTCGCTATAGCATTTATCACCAGCTCTCTCCCTATCTATCATTCTGTCTCTCGCTCACTGTACCTATCTCCAACCCCCATTGTATCTCCCTCATGTCCCCATATTGTCTCTCCATATCTCTAACATTTTGTTAGCATGGACATTCTATCAGTGCTCTTTTTGGTACCTTTCCCTCCTTTTTAGCCCCAACAATTAGATTGCATTGAGGCTGGTTACATTGATGTGATTGCCAGAGGAAGTGAGATAACCTAACATCAGATCCCTGTCTTGGTATCATCATAATGTCATTAATTATGCAGGAGTTATGTGTGGAGGCTGAACAGGAGGACAAAATGACTCAATGAGTGCTGACTGCTCAGTCATGCTACACTAACATATCATGTATCGGGTGGCTGTGCCTCTTGACCACATCCTCTTAAGTCGGCCTATCCCTGCTCCAAGTGGTTCAACGGTGATCCTTCTTCATGTACACTCTTGCAACTTCCACATAATTATGTTGTTTAAAATATATATTTTCTTGGCAATCTTGTTGGCATAGTCTACAGATTAAATTGGGTTTACCTACCTGATCGTGACTGGCAGGTTATAGAAGGCAGGTTGACTTGAAATTAGCATATCTTTTATAATTATTAATTTATCACCGAGATAGACATGTGAAGATAATTATCAATGTATGAATTATATTTTACATATAATTATTTATTTGAAATATATTTGGAATTCTGATTACATTATTTCAAACATGAAATATTTATGAGTATATACTACCAGAATATATAACGAGGTATCATGAAACTGCGTAGAAATTAGCATAAGAATATTGCAACAATAAATATTGAATCAGAGAACTGCTATTGATTGACATTTCGCATTGTTATGGCTTCTTTACCGGACATGCAGATGGTTAAAAACACAATATACTTTATAAAAGTATGTTAGAATAATGAGCTATTTCATCACATGAGATTTTGTCTTCACTCATGCTAATTATTTTATATCACAGAGTACATTACATTATAATATAGAGATTATATAATCCATTATCTAGATTTTTGCATGATAAATGTGCATAATATTATTTAACAACTCAGAAACTAGAGACTAGTAGAAGAAGTGTAGCTGTGAGAAGGGATGTAATTTACTAAGTTTTGGGAAGTTCTGTACCAATTAGAACTTCTTTCCTCCCCTAACTGGTCCTGTAGAACATATCATGTCTATACTTTAATTCACTAATTGTTCTGTTACCACCATGGACTGGCATTGGACCCCCAATACCCAGAAGTAATAAAGTATACATCTAATAAAGGAAAGTTGGCAAAGCAGCATAGTCGAGCTCCTCAACTTGTAAACCTGCTCCCACCATAATACATTATATTTTTATACAAATGCTGCCCAGCGCTAACATTTTTAGAATTGGCACTTGAAAATATATCTGTAGATTCCAAACTGTATACCTCCCGTAGTGACAGATCCATCCTAGTTAAAGCATAAGTATCAACTCACTCTCAGTACATTAGAGAAAAGCAATTTATATTGGGCCAATATGTTCCGCAACACTTTACAATTATGTAAAACTCCCAATCAACTTGGATTTGAGTTAGGTTAATATATATCATTAGGTCTAGGGACACTTACTAGTAAGGTAGGGTGGGGTGACATTACCACTGCGCTAACCAGCTGATATAGAAGCCATTACAGAGAAGGGTGATGGTAGATAGCTAAGCATCAGGGTGAAATACTTCCTTTGTTGTACTAAATTTATATAAAAAATGTTTTTTCTCAAAACACTGAAGTTACATGTCATAAAAATGTACAATACACTGTAATAATACTTGTCTGTCTCTTTGTACCTTAATATGGTATGTCCTAGGTGGTACTGCTGCATATGGTTTACATTAAATCCAATCATATTGCCGCTATTTATACAATTCCCCTTTCTCCTCAGACATCAATTATTTAGTCCCTTTTTCCTATTGTAGGGTGATCATTTGGCCTGACCTTAGCCTTCACCATTCATTGTGTAAAGGGTACAACTGCTGTTATCTTATTCTCTCCTATGTGCCCTCTATCTATTGTCATTTATGCAACATTAGATCTCCCGTCCTGTCACTTCAATGACTTTCATGCTTTGCTGGTTGAGTACACATTTATTTTCTTGGCTTAGAGCAGAATCCTTTTTTACTAATTTCCTCCTCGACTTATCAATAAGGTAGAAGCAGACCTTGTTCAAGAGCTTTTATTTTAACTTAAATAGCTTTTGTTGTCCCCAGGCTACTGTGTTCAGCTTACTCTTTTATATACAGCTAATCAGGGACTTACAGGCATCTTAAAGGTGAGATACAATTTATCGAGCATGCTACGTAAGATTCTTTAAAATTCTAGGTGTATTTTTGTTTATAAACTCACATGATATAGGAAAACGTTACAGCAACGTATTTTATTTTAAATATGTCAAATAAAAGAAAACCACTATACATAAAAAATGTGAATATAATAGAAAATTATATTTATAAATATTATATTATATAAATGTTGACTTTCAACACCAAACACAAGTGAAAACATACAAAAACCATTAATGGAGGAATCTAATACTTTACTATATTACACCATATGCAGTGTATGTTCTAGATACACACATCGGTTTAAGATATCCAAGGCTTATTCTACCCATCACCCTGTTTACAAGTTGTATTGTTTACATATACAGGTGGTCCTCACTTTGCGAGGACAACTGCTCAGACATACAACCAGCTCTCAAGTGTGGTGATTTAGAAAACTGGTCTATGTTCGGGAATTACCCCATACGGAGTTTCGAGGGATTTCCTGCTCTAGTGAGCTGGTCTATATTCAAACATAGAACTGCTCTCTAGCGCTGTATTGGTATCCTCGCTTACTGACCAATTTGTTTTACGACCGAGTCATAGGAACGGAACTCATTCAGGTAAGTGAGGATCATCTGTATATACTTTTTTAACTCATATCATGGGTTATTTATATAGACTGTATTATATTTTAAAACTTCAGCAACAATGTAATGTATTGTATTCATTTTAAATGTTAGCTTTATTAATCTTTAAAATGGTTCCACCAACCTCCTTTATGACAAAGGTTTAAGCAAATTATTTTTATAACATAATACACACACAAAACAAGTATATCCCAAAGTATTAAAATTGCTCAGAACACCAGTGAGGTATCCCCTTCACCTTCACAAAATACAGTAATATACAACAAATAGGTGGAGCAATAAAGAACAAATACTGTAAATACTCCCCTCTCTTCAATATACAGCCACAAACTGAAACAGAAACAGAGGGAGATACAATAGTGTAAAACTAGTAAGACAAAAAGTAATCACTATGTCTATAATGGGCACACTCACAAGGATAGAGCCATAGAATAACCTGGCTCTAGTCTGGATAGCAGTAGGATCCTTAAGGGAGATCCAAATCCCACTCCAGTAGATGAGAAGGATGATGCAGGAACAATATCTACTTCAAAAGTAATAATTTATTCCAGAAATAAAAGAAAAACATAAAACAAAGTCCATATAATCACCAAAACGCGTTTCGCCAAATAGGCTTCCTCAGTTGGTGGATATTCAATGTAAAAAGTCTCTTTCTTCTTTAATATAGTTGATTTTGGCGCCATCTTCATCTATGAAACGCACAGCGTCGACTTCCGGTTTCATCCGTGGAACGCATAATTTCCGATTCAATGCTCATTTCCTGTATTTTCCGATCACATGATCGGACGTAGTATTTGTGGAACGCACGTGCGTTCCACTCCTCTCCACATCCGCTTCCTGCTTCGGATTCAATAACCATTTCCTGTGTTGTCCGATCACATGATCGGACATAGTGCTTGTGGAACGCACGCGCGCCCCACTCCCCCCCACATCCGCTTTCAAAAAAACCAGCGGACATGACGGTCGTGGAACGCACATGCGTTCCACACATGGAAATTAAAAACGGATATACCCAAATACATGTAATACATTATGAATGAGACCCAACTAATGCAAGGATGTATGTACTTCCATCTAATGCAAAGAATATATGTATATAATAATACAAGAAGATCAACAAGAATAAAAAAGCATCATAATTAAAAATAGAAACAAGAAAGAATTTATCACAGTACCCATATAAAATATACTGGAATAAAAAAAAAGGAAAATGATCCTCATAATAAAAAAGGATAACATGTACCACAATACATTCTAAAAAATACATTATAGAAGGCCATTATGAAGATATAGATAAAAATAAAATGTAAAAAATATTACAAAAAATGGCATAATTCAAAGTCTTGATTCAGACCATTTGGAATGAGGGTATTAAAGTTGTATATACATCGCATTTCTTCCTCACCAATCCTTTTAATAAAGTCTCCTCCTCTCCAATTTTTAGAAACGGATTTAATTGCACAAAACATTAAATTCCTTGGATTACTATTATGACATTTTTTATAATGTTGTGAGACACTATGTGTCTCCAAGCCTTTTTTTATGTTGCGTACATGTTCAGCAATTCTAATATGTAGGCATCTGATCGTTCGGCCAACATAAATTAAATTGCAAGGACATTTTAAAATGTAAATCACGCATTTTGAGAAACAGGTTAACTGATCTTTAATAGTAAACTCTTTTTTATCTTTATATATAAATGAAGTGATATGTCTTTTGGTGCTATTGGTTTCCTTACAAGCGAGACAGGATCCACACCCATAAAACCCTTTATTTTTGTTTAAAAAATGTGTTGGAGGTTGTGTTCTAAAACTACTTTTTACTAAAATCTGTTTTAAATTTTTACATCCACGATAAACAATTTTTGGTCGATTAGGTAAAATTTGACTTAGTATAGGATCTTCTTTTAAGATTGGCCAATATTTAGTGACGATTTTGTTAATTTTATGGTTGTTACCACTATGGTTACATATAAAAGGCATATTAAATGCATGTTTATCAATGGTTTTATTATGTGGCTTTTTATAACGAATGAGATCTTTTCTGTCAATCTTTTTAACTTCTTCAATGCAGTTCTGTAGTATTCCAGTCTCATACCCTTTGTCTAAAAACTGCTCCTTAATTCTCTCTGCTTGAGAGATGTAATCAATCTCTTGAGTACAATTCCTCCGTACTCGTAGGAATTGGCTCTTTGGTACATTCTTTAACCATGGTGGATAGTGGCAGCTGCTCATCTCAATATAACTATTGGCATCGACATCTTTAAAATGGTTCCTGGTGTTAATAGTGGAATTGGAAATAAAAACCTCTAAATCTAAAAAGTTAATATGATTAGTACTGTAAGTAGAAGTTAAAAAAATCCCCCAACTATTAACATTTAAATCATTTAAAAAAAGGTTAAGACTTTCCTCTCCTCCTTTCCAAATAAAAAATATATCATCAATATATCGATGATAGGACACCAAATTCTTAGCAGCAAGATGTGGAAATACTATCTTATCCTCCCAGTATGCCATAAAAAGATTGGCATAACTGGGAGCGAATTTGGTGCCCATAGCAGTACCAGTAATTTGTATAAAAAATGAGTCTTTAAACCAAAAAAAATTTTTTCTAAAATGAGTAAAATTCCGTCAAGTATAAAATCTATTTGTTGCTGTTTAAAACCCGATTGTTCTAAAAAATATTGCACAGCTTGTATACCTATATTATGGGGTATTATACTATATAAGGAGCTAACATCGCAGGTAACTAATAAATACTCATCTTTCCATATTGTGTCTTTAAGGATTTGTAATATGTGTATGGTATCTTTAAGGTAGGAAATTGTTTGCACTACCACGGGTTGTAATAGGATATCAATGTATTCTGATACCCTAGATGAAATAGAGTCTACTCCGGCAATAATCGGTCTTCCTGGTGGATTAATTTTATCTTTATGAACTTTAGGAAGATAATAAAAAAACGGGATCATAGGATGTTTAATAGACAGGTATTCTGCTTCTTTTTCTTTAAGGATCTTCATTTCTAACCCCTTCTTTATGTACTGTTCAAACTTTATCTGTATAGTCAAACTTGGATTATTGGGTAATTTTTTATAGGTGTTAGTGTCTAAGAGAATTCTTTCTGCCTCTTTGACGTAGTCCTCTTTATTCAAAATCACTACGCCACCTCCTTTATCAGCAGGTTTAATAATATGTTGATTATTATTAAGTGTTTTTATAGCCTTTTGTTCTTTTGTAGAGAGATTCTTTTGAAACTTATTTGTTTTCTTAATTTTTTGTGCGTCTCTCATAATCATTTTTTCAAAAATTTTCATTTCATCTGAGACCATAAATTTAGGATAAAATTGCGATTTTTGTTTAAGCTCTGTATGTACAAATCCTTCATTTAATATTTCGGTAGAACTGGAATCTTTATTAAAAAAGAATTTTTTAAGGGACAAATTTCTAATAAATCTATTTAAATCTATAAAAAAATTAAATTCATTAAAATCTGTAGTGGGGGCAAATTTAAGACCTTTATTTAAAACTTGTATATGGTCTTGTTCTAATGTAGATCCTGTCAAATTAAAAATACCCTCTGTTATTAATTCCTTCCTCTTTTCGGTAGTAGGTCTTCGTCTATTTCTCCTTCTTCGAGGGATCTTCTCCGTTTGCCCGGAGATTCCCATGCTTGATGGTGTGTAAAACGTTTTAATTGGGTTAGGTCCTGTTGAAAAGGATCTGTTGGGAGATTTTCCAGGCATTGAAATCTGTTATTTGTCGTAATCCCTTTTAAAGAAGGAATTCTCCCTTCATCACCTCTATATCTTAAATTCTGTGTTCTTTTATTAGGGATTCTCTCTTCATTACCTCTAAATCTTGAATTCTGTATTCTTTCAATAGGCCTTTGATATTGATTGCCATTCCTTACTACTTCGCTATAACTTCTATTGGTATTAATTACCTCATTAGGATGTCTATTTGTATTTCGGAAAGGGGGTCTATTTTCTCTGTCTTTCTTATTTTTCATATATTGTGATTGTGTTCCGGAAGCGGATGTGGAGAGGAGTGGAACGCACGTGCGTTCCACAAATACTACGTCCGATCATGTGATCGGAAAATACAGGAAATGAGCATTGAATCGGAAATTATGCGTTCCACGGATGAAACCGGAAGTCGACGCTGTGCGTTTCATAGATGAAGATGGCGCCAAAATCAACTATATTAAAGAAGAAAGAGACTTTTTACATTGAATATCCACCAACTGAGGAAGCCTATTTGGCGAAACGCGTTTTGGTGATTATATGGACTTTGTTTTATGTTTTTCTTTTATTTCTGGAATAAATTATTACTTTTGAAGTAGATATTGTTCCTGCATCATCCTTCTCATCTACTGGAGTGGGATTTGGATCTCCCTTAAGGATCCTACTGCTATCCAGACTAGAGCCAGGTTATTCTATGGCTCTATCCTTGTGAGTGTGCCCATTATAGACATAGTGATTACTTTTTGTCTTACTAGTTTTACACTATTGTATCTCCCTCTGTTTCTGTTTCAGTTTGTGGCTGTATATTGAAGAGAGGGGAGTATTTACAGTATTTGTTCTTTATTGCTCCACCTATTTGTTGTATATTTTTATAACATAACCACTGTGGCAAATTATATGTAATTAAAAGGGGACTGTAACTTCAGTGAAATTTACTCCGTTGAATAAAACATTGTAAGTCACCTGTAACTTGTATTCGGTAATGCTGTGAATTCTGATTTTTACTCCACTTTTTCCAACAAAAATATATTATGTTTAACTTCTCTGTTTCTTGTCGCTGTAAGTTTGGGGTTCCTTGAAATGGAAATATCTGCGAAAACTGGTGGGATTTATTGGAAATAAAACCTTTAGTTTTTAGGGTCACATTTAGAATGCTTTAATAAATACAATTAAAATAATAATGGAACGATGTTGACAGACAGGTGATAGCAATGATAAACAGGAAACTAGATGGAGGTACAAATCACAGGATGAAGAGGTGTGGATTTCTACATTTGATTTGTTTTCCACATATCACAAATATATACTTGTCAAATATAGGGATAAGTAAACATAATATTACAAATCATAGGAAGTGACAGTACAAATAAAAGATAATGGTTACATGTTAATTGCTAATATTGATTGTGAAGAGTGTTATACCGTTTGTCTGTCTGTCTGTCCATCTATCTATCTTTATGGATTTTATAGGTGTGTTTTTACTAAAATATGTCATTTCAAAATATATTTTCCAGGAAGTTTGGCTATTTACCAACCACATTAACAGATTTTCCCCTCCTTGAGAAACCCACTGTCATGTTTAGTTATAAGGAATACAAAAAAGAGAATTATTAATGAACACACAATACCTTTATGTTTAGTCCATTATTTCCTGCAAGTGGATTTTTTTAAATCTTAATTAATTACAGATATTATCTATGGTGGATAAAGTTGTGCTCGTACATAATAAACTCTTTTCAAATTGTTAATGACCATAGAGAGTGGGTCCAGTGTTTATTAGTAGGAGTGAGAATTATGAATGAATTGTCAACATTTACTGGGAACAGATCCCATATTTTATGAATGAATGCACAATTCACATGCTAGATTGTTAGAAAAAAAGAAGTAGGGCACAAGACTAAAAAGAGTAAAAGATATAAAATACAAATAATAAATATAATAAAAGGGTGGCTTTACTCACTAATGGGTTAAGGATTCTCAGAATTCCCAAAAATGTTCAATGGAGTGATGTAGTTCCTGGTGATTTGCCAAGCATCATGGCAGCAGAATATCTTTCTCTATGTAGATAACAAACAGTCTGGGCATTTACTGCAGTGGAATTATTTTTTAGGATTAATCTGGTGCCATGCTGCACCAAAACTATTACGATTGATCATTAGCACATTCCCAGCATTGAACCCCCAACCATTCTGGAACAGCTGAGACTCACAAAA